TTTAGGATAGACTTAGCAAGTCTTAGGTTGGATAATTATGGCAACTTGGTCTAAAGTGGGTGTTCAATTGAGACAATCATGTGTGACAGTTGTATACACTCTTGCATGAAGAGGCTTGCGGCTGAGCGTGAGTGATGAATGACTCCCTAATCCGGGTAGAACGCACTTCATTTCCCGTCCGTGGCTGGCTGAAATCTAAAAGATGGTGGTGGGGGTACCGAATCACAGTGAGAGATTCCAACGGAGCACCTAGTCCCGACACCCCTCACGTCAAGCCCTAGACTTGTCTAGACTGTCGAATTAGAGATATCTTATGCATGTTTTACCATGAAAAGTGTAAATTAAGCTTAAACTGCTTGATGCCCTACAGCGTGATAAGGAATGTGATAACATTAGTCAATAGTCCTATACTCCCGTTTTCTCACGGACATCAGACTGAGACATGTGGCAAACTCGCTTACCGACCTGTCTGCTGTATCGTCTACTGGCTTGTAAAACCTTGATTTATCTACCCTCTTTCGTGAAATGCGACAGGTTGCACTGTTATCTGAGGCGCTAGGATCAGGGACCAAAGCGAGTCTGCGGACCCAGTGTCTGTTGACGGCGAATGAAGGTCTGCGATAAGATATCGTTTACTTGCAAGAATGATTTCAGAATCCTACAAGTTCACGCAGCATTGATGCCATTCTATATGGAGCTAATGCTATTTTGATGACGAAGTAATTTTACAAAAGTGCACAGTCCATAGCAGGTACTAGTTGCAGGCGTCTGTTGGGGTATGGACATATCGCGAAGGAACTTCTAGAGAGTCAACTACCAAATAGAGAACGACGGACTTTGAAACGCTGTTGCTGGTATAACGGTTTAAGCTCTTATAATTACCAAATGTGTTCAACAAAAATGTTCTATCCTACGTAGAAGTCGAAAGCGCCCCCATCGTGACTGTTGAGCAAGGAGCGTCGTAGACAAAAGGCTCCACAAAGTCGACACGAGGCTTCGTGCCTTTACCCAGTTCAATCAGGGTCTTACGACTGGGATCAAATTTAGGCCAACCAAGCTTGCTCAAACCAGACCAAGGATCATCGCTAAAAGAGAACCAAGCATGTTGCATGATCTTGGTGAGCTTCTTCTGGTCCGCCGATGGCTCAATGCCACTGACATCGCCAGATGCGCCGAAGATCATGTGCAGATCAACGCCATGGTACGCGCCACTCGTAGGGAACAATCTCGTGTTATTCCAGTCTGCCAGATATCGGTACGCCCATGACGGCGTATTGTGATCTCGTCGTGCCTGGGCCTGGTAGGATACGGGACAGGTGAAGGATTCGAGAAGGAATGATTTGACTTGGGCGTCAGTGGGAACAACTCCATTTCCGTAGGCGGGAATACGGTAGTATCCGTCTTCGTTGTTGTTATTGCCGAATAGAATGGGGACTTTGACAAAGTTTCCGCTCTTGGTTCGACTGACGTAGTCTGAAAAGACAATCTCGTTATCTGGCTTGGGGTAGAATGGAGGGATGGATCGAAGAACACTAGAGCTAGCAGCAGGCCTGATACCAGCAGCTGCCTTCTTGATATCCTCCCAGTCGACCTTGCGCATACAGGACATGACCTCACTGGTAGTGTTGCATCCTACAGCTGCCACAACCGAAGCCCAGTTCTTCTCTTGGACAGCAGCGGAGTTGACAGGGAAGCTAAACGCGTTGCCCGATGGAGCGATGATCCCATTGACAATTGGGTCCTTCTTGTAGGCGTACGTCCAGTAGTCAACAGCTACGCCACCTGAAGATTGGCCTGCGATGGTGATCTTGGAAGGGTTGCCACCGAATCTCCAGATGTTATCGCGCACCCACTCGACAGCAGCTCGTTGATCGCGTAGACCTAAGTTCTGAGTCTCTCCAGGTGCACCGGGAAAGCCAAAGATGTTGATACGGTAGTTAACGGTGATGACGATGATATCCTCTGCGTCAGCAAAGTATTTGCCATTGTAAAAAGGACTGTCGGTGTTTCCGATAGCAAAGCCTGTATCGCCAAATCAGTCTCGGTCTTGATACACGACACACTAGTAACTTACGTCCACCATAGAAGAAGACAAGCACGGGCTTGTTTGCTCTGGCAGAATTGGGCGTGGCCTTGGACCAGATATTGAGTGTCAAGCAGTCCTCACTCTGGGGGGTTCCGGCTGCGCTGGCAAAGTACGAAATAATCCGCTGGGCTTGGGGTGTCATATCAGGATAATCCACCTTCTTACTCGCCGTCAATGGACAGTCAAATCCAAAACTCTTCGCCTCGAAAGGCTTCTTCGAGTAAGACGTGATGCGCTGAGGAGCCGCAAACCTCAAGTTATCCACCGGCGGTTTCGCATAAGGAATACCCAGATACTCAACAACACATGGCGAATTGTCTGCAACATGGCCAGTGATCGGTCCATTCCCCGTCTCGACAGTGATGTACTTGGATGGGTTGCATTTCGGCGTTGCAGCAGCCAGACCTGCCCAAAGGGCGAATGCAAAAACCCAATTGACCGCGTACATGTTGGAGGTGCAGTAGCGCAGGGGGTGACAGAAGGCAAAGTCACTGTCTCAAGTTGGGATGGGGAGATTTGGGAACTTTATTTAACCACTGGGACGCGCATCGGGGAAGTGCCCTGAATAGGAATCCACAAAGGATGTGGCCAGGTCAGAATGAATCTAGCGGCCGACCTTTCCGGATCCACGGTTTGACAGGGGCACGGCCCGCAGACAATGGGATGAACGATGAAGCTACGAGTTAATCTCTGGGATTGTGTTTCTTTACAATTGAACATAGGAGAGCTCTAATCGCGTTATCCGCTCTTATTTCCTTGTTTTTGTCACCTCAATGGTTCGTAACCAGTCTGATTTACCCAACCTCTGCAAATCAACAGGCCGTGCCTCACCCCTGCATGAAATGACACCACCAACTGGTTGGTTCACCCCGGATCGCAGGCAAAAGGACCGTTCATCCTTTCTACTTCGGAGATTGATTCTATTCCCTCACTACCAAGACAGGATGGTCGCTACGGGTTCTTCATTGGCCTTGTCGTCATTCGATACTCACTCACTCTATTGAGCCGACAATGCGGTTACACTTCCGTTGTCTCCGAAAGTAAGTCCTCGTGACTTTGGAACCAACATACGATGGCCCGGCACTGCTTGTAGCAGTACCGGTCTGCATCTATCGTGATGTGCCGGGTGACAGAGGTCTATTGCACCATTGGCTGTGCCGCGCTGTTGGAGCCGATGTCTGGGCAACTTTATATACTGGGGGTCCTCCTTGGCCCCTCTCCAAGTGCCACTCTAGCCCGTCCGTGTAGGGTGAAGCCACAAAAATGATTGACAGAGGCATGGGATTTCCCGCCGATGGCGTCGACAATCATGGCTGGAAGTTATACATCACATCCTTAGTGATGATCATTTCATCGGGTTTGTTTGTCGTTGCGAGATGTATTGCGCGGTACTCAATACACAAGCTTGGGTCAGATGATGTTGCCATTATTGTTTCTCTGGTAAGTTGTTCGACCCCCAATGGCACAATCGCTAATTGTCCAAGATATCATCTGTTCTTTTATCGACCTACATACAGCTTGCGATACACCATGGCTACGGAATGCACAAAGCCGATCTCGAAAAGCCCGATCTTCGGATGGCGTTGAAGATGTTCTTTATCGCTCAGACACCGTACAAGGTAACCGTCTGCCTCAACAAAGTCGCCGCGATTCTGCTATATCTCCGATTATTCGTCACGAAATCGTTTCGTCTTTGGTCATTTGTGGTCTTGGGCGTCGTGGTTGGATACAGTATTGGTGGTGTTGCTGCGACAATTTGGCAATGTGTCCCCATCAAAGGCGCATGGGACAAGTCAGTTGATGCCAAGTGCATCGACTCGAATAAGTTCTGGGTTGCTTACGCTGTCCTCAATATCCTGACTGACGTTATGGTCTTGGGCCTTCCCATTATGCCCATCATGCGGCTGCAGACCAGCAGACGGGAAAAACTATTGCTCTGCTGCATCTTCCTTCTAGGTGGATTGTGAGTGGAAGCCCCGATATCTCCAGACTATAACTAACCAACATCAAAGTGTCACCATCACCTCGATCCTCCGAGTAACTTCGGTCTCAAATTCTCTCAGGAATAAGAAAGACATGACATGGAACTTTATTGATCGCGGCGTGTGGACCCTCATCGAAGCTAACCTCGGCATCATCGCTGCATGTCTGCCAGTGCTACGGCAACCCTTGGGCAAGATCTTCCCCCGCATTTTTGGATCAACCAAAAAGAGTTCCTTGTACTATACAGGGCCGGGTGGTCCCGCAAAGGGCTACAACTTGTCAGATATAGCTGCTCGAAGCCCTCGTCCAGGTATCTGGAAGAGCGGCGCATCTAGATCTGAACAAATCATTTCTGTTGGCGGACCACAAACAGAAGCAAGTCGCGACAGCGACGAGCGTTGTATTATTGCTGATTCAGTCAAAGGGAGTGATTTCGGCGGTGAGCTGGCTACTCATAAACCTGATCTAAGTAGATAGAAGACACAAAAGTTATCAATCGTATTTAAAAGTTCAGATCAAGGCACGGCCATATCTCCCAGAATAAGTGTAAGACGGGTAAAGTCTCCGCTAGTCGGCTTGCAGACAGGGTCGAAGATGCACTCAACGCCTAGCACAGGACATCTGTGCTATCGGCCAGTGGTCTGCTGGCATGTACTACAGCTGGTCATTTCTTTCTTCTGGGGCCGTTAGCCGACGATTGAGACGTGGCTATTGCAATAGTTTAGAAACTAGCAAAACGCCACTATGACGCTTAAAGTCAATAGCGCGACAGTGAGAAGAACCGCCCAAGAATTTTGGAACTAAGATTTCAGACCAAGAATAACCATAATATTAACTCAATTACTGCATGATCAAACATGATGTAATTTAACACTTTACGTAAAAAATGATGAAGGTCGTTATCCCGCCCTCGGTAGATGAGCTCTAACTATTAATCGTAGATTACAGCAGGTTCAATCTCAAGGTCAATAGACTGCGTATCAGCAGTAGGACCATTACCTTCCCGTCCCATAACAAGAGCAAAACCCGTTGCCAAACCAGAATACGTATAGAATCCCGTAAACGTCCCAGGCAAGGCTGAACAAATCGGGATCCTAGTAAGAGAGTCCTCCACGCACTGCCCAGCGGGAACAGAGCACTTCAGCCTGCGGTCGCGAGTCTGCTCACATGTGACCATAGCAATCCCTCCCATGACGTTGGTCTCGGTGCCGGGATCACAGAGCTTGAGGAAGTGGATGTCGCTGTCGCTATCGCTATCGCTATTTCTGACACCATATTGGAGACACAGGTAGTTTCCATTGACTATTTCTCTGACTTGGTTTGTGTCGGAGTCAATGGAGAATGCGAGGATTGGTGGGGAGCCTTCCAAATTCCATCCCATTTCGTGGTCTGTTGTTTTATGACCCCGGAGTTTTTGGCCGTAGACTTGCGTGTCGGTAGCGATGACGTTGAATGTTGGGATCGGCTCGAAGGTATCTGCGGTTGTGGTGGTGGCATCGGCTGTTGTTGTCTCAGCAGACGTGGTCACCGCAGTGGGTGTCGCCTCATCAGTGGTTGTAGTATCTATAGTGGCGGTCTCAGTAGTGGCGGTATCTGTTGTGCCAGTTGTCGCAAGCGTAGTTGACAAATCGACTGACACTGATGTTTCGGTGGTAGTCGCTGTCTCAGTAGCCTCAGATGTAGTCTTATCATTAACAGTAGACGTGGTACTGGTAGTAGTCGACAGATCGGCAGTGGCAGAAATGGTCGAAGTCACGGTCTCGACAGAAATAACACCTGTATTCAATTAGAGATGGTATAAGAACATAATTCAAGAGGCAAACTCACTAGAGCTAGCAGAAGGTCGAGGCTTGCAAACGCTGGCCATTGCAACATCAGTCGCAAGACCAAACGCGAAAAGGATGCTGAAGCGCATTTTCGTAGCGATAAGGAGTGACAAGAGTTGGATTGGAAGAGAGACTATAGAGCAAGGAGAAACACGAAGATACGGAAGGCGGATTAAACGTTTTTTCTAACACTTTGTCAGGGGTTCATTTTCCCATGCGACAGTTAGCGGAGTGAGGCTTGACGCTATTGACAATGAGCCTCAGCTGGCTCCATAGCCCAGGCACTAGGCCACGTCAAATTTTATCAATTAATCCTTCACAGCGGTCTAGAGCACCAAGAACCTCGAGCCAATCATGCTTCTGTTCAAGCGAAGAATAATGATACTAAAAAGCAAACCAGGGGTGAGCAAACTTGGCTGTCATGCTCTTCACCCCATAACTATGAACTACATCGACTTCACAATCAGATCAAATATTTTTGTCCGTTACAAGTAGGCTGATGATTAACTCCAATACTAGGTCAATGCGAAGAATTGCTCCGCAGGTTGGTGGACTCAAGTCTCTCGACGAGTAATGCGAACAGGGAAGTCTTCAATCAGCCAAATTCCCTACATCACCAGTCAGTAGCCACAATGTCAAACCGGAGGAGACAGCTTACAGCGTTCATGATATGAAGAGGTCTTTCAGGACGAGTCATACAAAAGTCAAATCGTCGCAACAACTGTCAGGCGTGATTAGTCACAACGCTCACCATCAAACAGTCAAGACTCACCTCGACAAAGATCTTATTCAGCTCAATAAACGCTACCGGTTTGCCCAGACACTGATACTTTCCGGTCGAGAACACAAGACTGACAACCTCAGCCATAGCTTCGTATTTCGCAGGATCCGCATTGATCCATCGCTCAGGTGAAAACAGACTTGCATCTTGACCAAAGATCTCCTTGGAGTGATAAACAGCAAATGGCGATTGTCCGATCTGTGTACCTCCGGGGATGAACTTTCCATCGATCTCATCGCCTTGAGGAGGAACCTGCTTGAACAGTGGCCCAGCTGCTGGAGCTTTGATCCTGAGACCTTCTTGGATAACAGCCTGGAGATATGGGAGTTTTCTTGCTTCAGCATCGGTAATCGGGGATGAGATACTTCCGGCCTTGATTGCCGTGTCGATTTCGGCTTGAAGTTTGAGATACATAATGGGATTGCTTAGGAGACTGAGCATGATGAGGCGGATGGTAGTTGCTGAAGTGTCACTTCCAGCGACGACGTTGAGAAGAGATTCCCTGGAAGCTTCTTCTTGCGTCAATCCGTGACGAATGAAAGAGCCGAGCATGTCTGGTCGCGACTCGGCACCTGGTGCGAATCGTTCCGCGACTTTTTTGTTTGCGACGCTACAATTGTCAGCTTCCCGCAGAATTTGACACCGACAAAACTCACCCGATGAAAGCACCAAACCCAAGCTTATCACTCTCTTTGGGCAACGCACCACTAAACAATCGTGAATGCAGCAGAGACACTAGCGACGGGATATTGGCTATGAACAAGGTTACTGGGAAGTAGGACTTTGTGATCTTGATAAAGTCAAAGACGTCGTCATCTTGCTCGATGTATCCAAACGGCTGACCGAAGGCAAGATCACTGATGACATCTAGAGTGAAGAACTGGATCTTTTGAGCAAAGTCTACTGGGCGGTAGTCTTTGTCTGTTGAGAGATATTTTGTGTCTAGGAGGTTGATGAGCTTGGCGATGTGTTCATCAATGGTGCGCTCGAGGGACTCGTTTTCTTTGCCAGAGTACTGTATCTGAAGTTAAGCTCCATGTCACGGTAATAGGTCTATCAGAGGGCTTACACCAGCGGCCATCTTGTTGCGCAGCTTTGCATGGGCGTCGTCATCTCTCATGGAGAAAAGGTTATCCTTTCCAGGCTCGAAACGAAGAGCATTATACCCTGCATTCAGTTAGCTGATTGATACGATGATACATTGGCTGTCAACGATATCTCCTACATGGTCCTCTTGTATACGCAGAGCGACTTGACATCATGCGCTTGAGCAGCTTGGGATCATCCGTAGCCAGCTCATTTGGCCCAATGCGCACGAGAGATCCTGGAAACAGAGTCAGCTATGGTTGCTAAGAGCGGAATTTAGATCGTACCGTATTTCTCATTGGCTTGTTGAATCGCATACGGCTGGATTCCCTTGAAGGATTGTCTCACCATCCAAGCTTTGGAGAACCCCGCCCAAAACGGACCAGGAACATGTGATAGTCGGTACCAAGTGCGCAATGTGTCAGCTACGAAAAGAACCACTAGCCCAAGGATGGCCGTGACAAAGACGGCGCGAGGATGGTCGGCAACGCTTTGCCAGACATCGCGCAGGAGCCCTGCAGAGGTATCACCTTCAGCGCTCATCTTGAAGTGTGTTTGAGCAGTTCATCGACCCGTGATGAGCGTGCGAAGGAAGAGAAAGCATTTCGTTCAGGAGCAATTGACTAATCAGACTAATCAGCCGACGACGCCGTTGAAGATTGAGATACCCTGTAACGGCGCAGGGCGTCACCGGAGTTTGTCCAGTCAGATCATGTTGATTTGAAGGCGCATGAACGCTACCGAGCTTGACGTTGATAAAAACCACTCATATCAGGCAGTACAGCCCCTCTAACGAGTCCGTCAGGTTTTCAGTATGCCAAATAGTTAGTGGAGCTGTACCACCAACAGCGGACCAAGACCCCTAAATGATCTGACTCTGCACGTCGATGGCGCATTTCGGAAGCCATCCCCGTCCAAATCAATTGGCGGAACATCAGTAACGCCACGCTCCGGATCGAAGGAACTCATCACGCTACACAAGGAACGGCCCGGCACAGAAAAATAAAGAAAGAGGGGGCGTTCCTTTGAATCAATCCTCTGTGATCCACAGCTTAATCACACTCTGGCCCCATCGACGATGGCACTTCAAGAGTCCCAGCACGAGGGCAGCACTCCGCCCCCAGAGCCTGTCATCCAAATCCAAGATGCTATCGTAAGAAATTCTAGTGCTCTTTTGCTGTGCATGAGCGGGGTCTGATTTGACGTGCATAGGCTGCAGGTGACGACGACGACGCCGATTCCTCGATTGGCGAGGTAAGTTTCAATGACTAGCTGCTGTCATGGGTCACTTTACGCTTTGACGGAGCCTCAAAATGACGTATTTTGATGATGCATAGGAAGTAGAGCCATCGGTTGTTTCAATCTCGTCGAGCATTTTGGCTTATCGACAGGAAAATGGTCGCAGCTATCATGCTTTGAGTAGTGGGAGTAAGATAATCTCGTGCCGGTCAGTAACAAAAAACTGACAAGTCATAGAATATGTCCTGCCGAATGACGAAGTAAGTTTGATCAACAGACTTAATACCGGATCGGGCATTTTGCATACTACATGTTACTGACTGGATGAAGGAAGAGAATGAAAGACTGGGTATGTCGGAACCTGCAATTGTCAGAGCAATGCTGACATGACTAGACTTACAACACGAGCTTTACGTTCGAACGCTCGATGGAGACCTTGCTGTATGTCCCAAAGCGAAAGGCGCGAATCGTGTCCTGGACATGGGAACAGGCACTGGCTCGTGGGCCATCGACTACGGTAAGGTCTTGCTGCAATGCATTCAGTAACATTGAGCACTTACATATTTCCAGCTGATGCAAACCCTCAAGCAGAGGTAACAAGGTCTTTGTCGCGTTGCTTGCTTGATCTTGCTGACTTGATAGGTCATTGGAGTTGACCTGAGCCCAATCCAACCAGCTCTGTACGTAAAGCCTCTGGCACTCGACCGCGTGATAAAATACTGAAATCCCTTCCCAGTGTCCCACCAAACGTTAGCTTTGAAATAGACGACCTCGAAAAAGAATGGACCTGGACACAGAAATTTGACTTCATCTTTGCCCGCATGATGCTCGGCTGCTTCACTGACTTTCCGCAAATCATCAAAGTCGCCTTCGACAACCTCGAGCCCGGCGGCTACCTCGAACTCCAAGACATGTCCCTCCCCGCACGCTCCGACGACAGAACCCTCTACCCCGAAAGCTACCTCTCCAAGTGGTGCAGATCCTGCTTCGAAGCTGGTCAGAATCTCGGTCGTCCCGTGTTTCCGACAACAGAGTATAAAAACTACCTCGCTGCCGCTGGGTTTGTCGACATCGTCGAGGTGCAGCAGAAGTGGCCGACAAATCCGTGGCCGAGAGAAAGGAAGTTTAAGGACCTGGGGGCCTGGGCCTGCGCGAATATCGCTGGCGGCTTAGATGGCTTGTCGTTGGCGTATTTCACGAGGGGCCTTGGGTGGTCGACTGAGGAGACGAGGATGTTTTGTGCGCATGTGAGAAAGGACTTGCAGAACCCTAGGATTCATGCGTATTGGCCTATGTAAGTGCCGACTGAATATGATTGGATGATGTGACACTGACTTTGGGATTAGCTACTTTGTCTATGGTAGAAAGCCACTGGCTCCTGCAGGATCCCCGTAGGACTCGTTTCTCTTGAGATATGATAGAGCGTGGCTTTTGTGCGTAGTTTAGCCACCGCCTCAGCTGATGAAATTATGAAAGTCTATGAGAAGAAACTTGTTTCATTGAATGAGCTTACATATCATGAGACTTGCTTGATAAGTGGAAAAGTAGTGATGATTATGCATGCGTCTTGACGCTGGAGGCCAACCATTAATGACTGCAGCCCCTCATATCGTCTCGTGTAAACTATATACCTGGGCTGTAGAAGATGATAACTTCCCTTGCTTTTAATTTATCGCCATCTTATTGGTTCCCAAGAGCGGTGATTGGTTGACGGCGTTAAGACATATTAGGTTCTTTGTGATCGTTATAAGCTCTCAGCCACAGCAGTCAATTACGAATGAGGATCATTAAAGCTAATTTAGCCCGAATGTCGAAGAAACGAACAGATATCACCCCCAAACTGGCTCTTGAGTGAAGTATAAAAAGCCTGCCTCCTCCCCTTCTTTGAAGCATAGTGACCCAGCTCCTTAAACAACACATACTTGAAAACTCCAACTCTTCCCAACCAACAAGTCTTAACCTCAAGACATCTACTCCACTATTGTCATCTAAAACCTTGAAACCCTGAATCCAATCTTGTAGGTTCATGCAAGCCTATACGTTGTCATAAACACGGCCTAAAGTTCAGCAGACAGCATTGGCCGCGACTATGAGACTCAAACTTATTGCACTATCCGTCATCAGCTTTGCAGTAGCTGTAAATGCTGACATCAACCTCTTCGAAGACTGTCATATCTTGTGTTCCGTGGGCAAAATGACTTGCTTGGGAAAACCTGGCGTGTCACCTCCACTTCAATCAACTGTTGCTAAGTGCACCAAGGCTTACAAAAAGTGCTGGTCCAATTGCGTGGAGCGTTGGAGGGCAGGAATAGCCGAGGGTGGTTTTTGATAGAAAAGCAATATCTTCTATGATACGGAAAACGGTTGAAGTACAAAAGATGTTTCCATCATATACAGCCTTTCCATTGCTAGTCTTATGGATGGAATGCACAATGATCATATTTGTTGTGCCAGAAGTCACTTGCAACTGTCAGCACTCAAAGTGAGACCAGCCAGGCGTCAGCCTACCACATTATATGACGTGCTCTGATGCGGGAGGCCGACCACTTACCCCGCAGCATGATAAAAAGGATAAGAAATGATTGTAAATAACTTCCACAGCCTCCAGAAACGTAAATCTCTAAAATAAATCAACTCATAGGAACGAGAACAAGACGAGTACCTTGGCTACTCACAGCACAGAGTATCAAGAACTACGACATACACGCACGATAACAGCGATCTTCGAAATGAAGCCCCTCCATCTTCTTATTGCAATCGCCTCTTTTTCGACGACCGCCGTCGCAGGCCCGATCGCTTACGGCGTCTGTCAGGCGGGATGCGCCTCTGTCGCGATGGCTTGCTATGCAGCTGGTGGTGCGACCTGGGGAGCTACCGCCGGAGCTACGGCCCCAGCTACGATTGCAGCCTGCAACAGTGCATTCGGAGTTTGTTCCGCTGCTTGCGCTCAAACGGCTTTGATCGCTCCCACGCCATAATCTTGAGGTTGGGGCAAGCCACTGGGGAGGATGTTTGTCGTCGAGAAACTGCAAAACGACAAGGCTATTGTATGTTCCTAAGAGGATACCTGTTTTTATGATGGGATGGTAGGATCAGAATGGGAAGAGATACTCATATTGGGGGAAGGCATGGGTCCATCACTGTATGCTAGGGGCCAACAGGCAGGCAGGCAGCAGCGTTCGTTGATAAGAATGTTAATCCATGTTCTGATTATGATGTCGTGGGAATGAATGGGAGAATATGCTTGATTTGGGGACCAAGCCAAGACCTTAGTGCTTACCATGGAGTGTGCAGATTGGCCAGGTCTGCTGGGATTGAAACGTCAACCCAGCGCTTAAGCTCGAATACGCTCCGTGGTCCCCAGTTAAGACAAATATACGAGAGCGATAATTGAAGATCGCCACCAGGTTTGCAACTTAAAACTTAAAGACTATGGTTGGGATTCGGGGGAATTCCATTGAAGCGTTAGCCCCATTCAACATTTTCCAGGGTTCCATCATCAAAGGATTTACTGGCATGTGAACTGCAACATGGTAAGCAGTGTTTTGCAAACATGGTCTGAGCTGTCCAACAAAAACTTGGCACCAACAACGGCCCCCAAATAACATCCTTTAATTTCCCTCGCACCAACAGCCATCTCGCATCATTTCAACACGCTGACTGAATTCTAATTTTGTCTTTCCTTCTACCAGAAGCATCCCCTTCACTAATGAGTTGCAAATTTGTACATATGTCTTGACAGAGTGACAACAGCCCTATACATTTGATCACAATGAGGTGGGCTATTACGAGACTGGTCGTTATCTCTTGTTTCCCTTGGCTATGCTGCGCGATAGAACTCGAAACGCGGCAGAGCTCCAAGGGATCAGCACAATTGCCAGCCAACGATGACTTCATTCGACGGTCGCTACTGTCCGGTAAGGAAATATCTTGAACATTCATCTCAGTAACTTACCCCAATGCGAAGTTGCTGTACTTAAGGACTATGTTTATATCGACGGCGGAGAGGTTAGTTCCGACCTCGACGAGTCACGGTCAACAGCCGGTAAAGCAGCGCCAAGATCAATACCGCGGGTAATACTAACATCGAGCAGTCAGTCTTACCCTTTCGCTGCCGCTAGATGAATCGTGGACAAACGATACAGTCGCATTCAAAGAAAGTGAGAAAGGACCATCGCCATATCTGAAACAACCAGCTCTTTGGGTCGATGAAGAACGATCAGCAATTTACTCATGGGGCGGCCAAGGCTCTTACAAGAATACCTCATCAGCTGGAGACCACCATTTATATGCCTTCGAGGCTGATGATGGTAAGGGAAATTGGTCAATTCATGACCCTGAGGACGACACATTATTCAGCTCTTTGTATCGGACTGTGAGAGGGGCTTACACTACTTGCCATGGCGTCGGATATCATCTCGGTGGCTATGGCGAGAGAAGGACTGATGAGAGGTTCACTGATGGCAGTTATGTTGAACGACCACTTGATGGGCTGCTGACTTACAATATGACGACTCAAAAGTGGACAAACGAGTCCACAAAAGCATTGGACTATGCCACTTGGTCCGGTAGGGCGACCTGTATACCTTCCATCGGTACTTCAGGATTGTTGGTCTTCATGGGTGGCGCAAAGGTGAAGATGCCCGCCTTCAGAAACGCGTCAGAGCCAGTTTCCTTCACCAATATTACGATATTCAATCCTAGCTCCAAAGAGTGGTACTATCAACAAACTTCAGGCATCTCTCCAGATCCTAGAGTTGATTTTTGTTCTGTCGGAGTACAGGGGCCGAACAATACATATGATATGTACGCATTCAAAACGGCTTTTGTCATCGGCTTCAGCTGACCTTGAATAGATACATCTACGGAGGCTGGAACACTTGGAATGACAAGACAAAGGCGTACGGCGATGTGTGGGTCTTATCGCTTCCGGCTTTCAAGTGGTTTAAGGCGGACGTCGAAGGACCAAAACGTGGAATGCATGGATGCGCTCTTGTTGGAAAGCGTCAGATGCTAAGCATAGGTGGCAACAACTGGGGCAAAGACGAAGGTTGGAAGGACAAGGATCCTTGGACTCAGGGAATCGGTATTCTCGACTTGCCGAGTTTGACTTGGTCTAGTGAGTATGATGCGGAAGCTGAGGATTATGAATCGCCCAAGGTTGTGAAAGACTGGTACCAGAGCGGGTATGTATTCTGGTGTCCTTGCTATTCTGCTTATTGACATGAACCAGGGATCGCGTTGAGTGGGACAACAGGGACGTCGAAAAGCTGTTCGGTAAGCTTTCACTCTATGTTGTATGCTGACAATGTTCTTACTGACTTAATAGCTTCGATGTCATCGACAACACCGAGGTCAACAAACGGCCCCGAATCCGGTCCTCTCCCCAGCAACTCATCGCCAACACCAGTTGGGGCTATCGCAGGTGGTGTAGTCGGTGGAGTTGCCGCTATAGTGGCTCTTGTTGGTGTTTGGCTATGGATACGTCGTCGGAAGAGAAATGCCAGCGAACATCCTCCACAAAACAGCGATGAGGGAGACACGAAGCAGTGGGACAAAGCTGAGCTTTCAGCCGACAGTTCGAAGCAGAACAGATTGCAAGAGTTGGAAAGTGGTCAAGCTGCTGCTGAGTTACCGGCAGCTACTTCACCGCTCGAGGCGAATAGGCAGACACAGCGACATGAGCTGGAAGGTTGAAACTTGATATACCATCGCATATATTGCAAGACAGTCTATTATCTGTTTCAGTTGAAGAATAGATCTAACCGAAGATTCCAATACGCCAGGAACCCGGCTTGAGAAAACATACTCTTAGGTCTTCACGAATTTATCAAAATTAACAACCAATTCTCTCAGTGTTTTTGCTTTCAGGTGGCATTCTTTCCCCTGGGCTCTCATTCTTGATCCGAGATTATCCAAGTACCTTTTCAATTTAGACCCTTCCATCTCCGTCAATGGTGGAACTTTCGCTTTCTTGAACAGGATGCTGAAGATGTAGCGCAAAATATCTACATTTCTTCGACAGGCGGTTATGACGGATGCATGCTGTTCGTAAAGTCCTGCGGCAAGTAATTGACAGTCTTGGTCATCGCTAGCATACAACTTGGTTGCGGCTACCCTCAACTTTGCCCTTGTCGTAGTCTCGGTCTTGAGCAGCGTCGCGAACAGGTCTTGCAGTTCTATCGCCAAGAGTTGAAAACCTAAGTCCGGACTCAAGACCAGCCTCTGAACTACTTGTTGTATGCCGAACTGAAGCTGGACCTGCGAATCATATGGAGGCAAACAGACTATCATATGCCATGTTTCACCGACTTGGGAAACCTCGTCAATACACTGCACTCGTGCTTGTGTGTTACCGAGTTTATAGTTGTGTATATGTTTTCTGAGATCGTTGTACCCTTTGAACTTATCTTCAAGCTCTGCATAACAAAGCAAGGCTTGTATCTTGGCTGCCTGGGCCATTCCTTGGGCTTTTACTGACCAGCACTGTGGTGGATTTTTCCCAGCAAGCAAAGCACCCGTCTGTTGCCAAAGTTCTGACGAAAGCTGCTCTGCCAATGTCTTTTCGTGACAGATGTAGTGAGCGGCATAGCTATAGTTGATGAGTACAAGTAGTGTTCTCTCATCATACAACCCATTTCCTGTAGTTTCATTAAGAGCCCTTGCTTCTTCGTAAGCTCTCTTGTAGTGGACAAGGAACACGTCTTTCTTCAACTTGCTTCTGTCATGATGCTGGTAGTAGTCTGCCCAGGCTTCTAGGACAACTGGATCATGTGGCTGAAGTCTACTTGATAGCGCTCTAGCTGAACAGAGGCAGCTTATAGTTGCAATATCTTTGAGATCCCTCAGCGGGATGTCCTGGATAAGTTCAAGAGCGCGGCCCATCTCGGTATTGGAACCTTGAGTTATGCGAGTGAAAGCCTCTCTTAGCTCGTCAAAAAATAGCCTCATCAACAAAGCCTGAGAATCTTCGGGGTAGCCGAGTTGGAATGAAACCCCACGTAAGAGGCGACAAACGTTCCATAGCGCAGGTAGGTCCTTGGGGGTTGATTCCTTCTCATTCACCTCCACTCGGGTGAAGACGTTTTCTTTGAGGATATTGGTGATGATTTCCTGCATTTCCTGCACGCCTTTTTGCTTCAAGGCCTTTTTATCCAACTTGTCCTTGACTAGGTTGCTTGAAAATATGAAATCCTTTTTCTTCTGAGGCAGTATTGAGATCTCTCGGCAAAGGCTCAAAGCACGGCACCATCTGCCAGCAATGGCTGGTTTCTGTTCACGTTCTTCCTTCTCAGCAACGTTTGCATCTTGGATGGTGCCATTGTTCTGCTGCGCAAGTCGTGAAGGATAGGTGTCAAAGAAGCCTTTAATGTACTTGTCAAGTGAATGAAGCACCTGAAAATGATGTTGGAAGCATTGAAAGGAAAGTGACCGAGGAACCGTACCAGCAACTAAGCCAGCTATGTAGTCTGGTAAGTCAGGAAATATTGCCGCAATGCTACTTGGTCTTGTTCGATTTCCACGGGCTACTCTGTTGTTCTTTGCACAATCCCGCCAATTCCTCTTTATTTGGTTTCTGAATGCGTCTTCGCTGTAGAGTCATGTTATAAATCATCCTTTTTCTGACGACTCCGTACAGCTTTAGAAAGACCACTTACGTTGCTTTGAAATGGTAGATCAACTCCAATGCCATTAAAGTCTTCTCCAAGCTGTAGCCTTGGTCGATGTATATGTTGTGAAATATCGGGTGTATAGCCCGCCATTGATCTCGAGAATACGCTGATTCTCCTGTGCGACTAGGTGCCATTTTGAGTCGTATTTAGCTTGTATTGCTGTTCCTCGCCGATCTGAACTGAAGGCTTTGACTGTCTCTAGTACTTTGTCTCGGAATCAAAAGGCGATTGACACGAGAGGCAGTGGCCTTTGGATGGGATTTTGGGGCATATAACCTTGATGTACGGATCCCAGCCATAAGCAACATTGTCGCACAAGAGCGGAGGTGATGCATGGCTTTGACCAGCTGACCAACCTCTACGGTAAACAAGGGTGCCTGATCTGGAAACACCATTGGACTTCACTAAGTGGTCAGTGGAGACAACTTGGGTTCATTGGTTGATAGACTCAGTGTCAGCACGTCTTATTGGTAGCACTTTTTCCGCGACAAACAGGGATTCTCAAGTAATTGTGTTATTGATTATATGGGACAAACACTGCTATGCTTAACGCCAGATGTCACTCATGCATCAAGACCTCATTAAGCCGAATATCCCATGTGCAAGAGGCTCATGATATCAACCGCTGAAACCCAATAATGGGAGAGAAAGCATATGCATAATGATTACAAGGTCTGAGTCTGACGCTTGATAGCAGAGAGGTGCATGAATTGAACAACTTTTCTATAAATTCGAGGTCTGCCACCTCTCGGACCTGAAATTCTTTTCTTTTTCTTTTTCTTCTACAAACTCTGCCAGAGCCTCCCCATCAGCAATTGCTAGCATCCAGCCTTCCCCTACACAATGTTCTCCAACTCTTCCCGTTCCTCTACCCATCGAGGAAAGCACGGAAAGTCCTCCTCGTCCTCATCTTCATCCTCATCCCACAAGCGTTCCTCCAAGTCCGCAAGCAAGCCTAGCAACAGCGTTGTCAAAGCTGTTGAACAGGACATCTACCACCAAGAGAACACGTCTTTGTGGGAAGATGTTAAGGTCACCGAAGGGGAACCCTAGCACCCTCGTCCTCGCTCTTGTGGCACCAGAGCAGCGCAAGGCTATGAGAAAGCTTATTGATGATAAGATCAAGAAGAGGAAAATTCGTAAGTTGATTTATAATGTTTCTCCAGGATTAATAACCAAGGCTCTGTCTCTATCCCACCTGGAGAATTAGCTTTTCTTTGACCACTGCGATATAGTGAACGACATTTCTGACTGGACTCCAGGATCATCCGTCGTGGTCACTACCCAAGACCAACTTCAGGACCACCTCGGAAGCGCTATGACCAATAGCATCGCCGCTAAGAAAGCCTTCAAGACTTTGTATCTTCTTGTGAGCTCCACAGTTGCTGAGTTGACATACAACATCGAAGGCTTTGTCGACAAAGTCTTTATCAGGCCTTGCGGAGCTGGCGGTCGACTAGATGCACTTCGTATCGGAAGCTCCTCAACCTACTGTGGTTTCAAGACCTTCAAGTGGGACGCTCGCCCTTCCCAGCTCCAACAGAGTAACAAAGAGTTGGCCCACCTCCAGGGCTGCAATTTTGACCTCAGTGACTGTTCGCAGGAAGACCTCCAGTTTCTTCAGCAGCCCAGAGAGGCTCCCGATCTTTCACCTGAAGACAAATACAACACTATGCAGAGAGTCCAAGAGCTTAAAGACATAGAAGTCAGTGAGAAAGCCAGAAATCCCTCTAGTAGCTGCGCTGATGGCACTGAAGTGTGGTTCCAGAAGTGGAAGAGCTTCTTAGCTACAGCTATGGCAGCTGGTGCAGGCGCAGCGGGCATGACCAGTGGCTTCTGGATGAGTGCTGGTGGCATCACGGTCAAAGGCCCTTTTGGACTCTATTTGGCCTCTGGGTATGCTACAGTAGGTGGCTTCGGAGCCGTTGGTGCTGCTGGAGTCGGCTCAGCGGTTGCCGCTTATGGCATGGTCTACTTTATTCCCTGGGATCGTGTTTGGGATCACCTTCGAGCCAAACTTTGGCAGATTTGGGATAAGATCTGCGGGGTTCTCATTTGGATCAAGGATAAGCTGGCTGAATTGGCAAGTACTGTTCTTACTAAAGTGTCGTTGGCTGTTCAGGGTGCTCCAAAGCCTGCGAGGCTTTCCATGTCATATGTTTAACCTTCTGTTTTCGGAAGTTAGTTTCTTTTCCTTCATTTCACCGTTCGTTAAGGTTCAATTTGTCGGTTTTTTTCTTTTTTTTTCTTTTCCCCGTTAGTCAGTCACTCTTTTTGGCGACGCCTATCAGAAGCATACGTACACTCGCTTCCAGGCTCCAGTTTGGAGCTTTCTTCCTTACCTACGTTCGCTTTTGCCAACGTATCATGTTTCTGTTCGCGAAATTCTCTGGTTTAAATAGGGTTACTACGAGACAGATTGCTCTGCATATAGTTATAGTTATTACTCAATTTCCTCCTGGCCAACACCGTTTCCAATAACATTATAGTGCTCTTTATTACCAATGCTCTTATCATTGCTTGTGGAGTACTGTGCTCAGTGGGTCTAAGCCCGGTACCGGAGTCAGATAAAACCGATTGGCCTGATGAATCATACCCGTCGGCCAGTCAAGGCACTTTTAGAAATTGGTTTCGCAGCAAAAACATCACTTATTTGAAAATCGCCATAATGACTGAAATCAACCTCATTACTGGGAATACTAACAAAATAGCCGATATCAAAGCTATCCTCGCCCACTCTGGAATTATTGTTCACAATCAATCTCTCGATTTGCCTGAGATACAAGGATCGATCGAAGAAATCACAATCGCAAAATGTCGCAGAGCCGCAGAAATGGTGAAATGTCTTCCACATACGCACGATTCAGACTGACACATTCGGCAGGTCGACGGTCCAGTCGTCGTGGATGACACAGCTCTTTGCTTCAATGCAATGAACGGTATGCCGGGGCCTTACATAAAATTCTTCCTCGAGGCCTTAGGACCCGAAAAGCTACATTTTTTGCTAGCCGGCTTCTCAGACAAAACCGCTGAAGCAGTGGCGACAATAGGATACTGTGAAGGTCCTGGTCATGAGCCAGTGCTGTTTCAAGGACGAATTGACGGGACAATTGTACCCGCAAGAGGTGTGATGAGATATGGGTGGCAGACGTGCTTTCAGCCTGACGGGATGGTTCTGACATTGGCGGAGATGCCAGATGAAGAGAAGCATAAGATATCACATCTTGGGATAGCTTTGCAAAAGTTTAGTACATGGCTGAACGTGAACCAGTATTCTGCTGATGGTGAGGAAAGCGATAGAAAACTAGAATAAAAATGCAGAACTCCTACTCCAGGCTCGTGCAGCTGAGAGTACTTGACCAATCTCCCTTCTTTCTATCAGGTTAATTTCATCATGGCCTGGATCAAGGGTACCCCTTCCTGCTTAGTATGGTCCTTGCCTGTCGTGATGGGACTTGTTTGTCCTGTCCACGACGTATTATTTGAGATTTCTGTGGTAGTAAGCTCACGTTAGCATTGTCAGTTGTGCTGTCTACATCGTTCGTTTCTCAAATACCAAAGTTAACTGCTACAGACTGTATCAAAGACGTCTTCTGTCAACGTCTTATCAACACCTAAGCTTTTCTTCCTTCATCATGGTGGGTGCCTCTTTGTCCAATATAATGATTCTTTAAGGTGCATCTTCATTTCCATCGTAACAACTATTTTAAATTGCGTTAGCGACTAAGAAATGCCAGAGTTACCCTGGAGCATGTGCCTCAATCGGCACGGACCCCACGCGTGCCCCGGTTCAATCACAGTCCTGTGGGTATTTTCTCCCTCAGCGCTTACTATCAATATTATGCCCGCTTACGCTAATTTTATCAACACTATTTGCATCGTGATGAATCTAACGTATAGCTTTGTCCAGGCTTCACTGGCTAGTAGTTTGGAGTGCCGACCACGACGGATCAGAACAAACATTAGACGAGAAAACAGGCATAAGATGATGATAGAAACAATCAAGTAATTTAGTGTCAACCACGTCCAGATTGCCAGCCTGTGTCAGCCTTTGCATGGTCACTTCACCTGGATTTTGATCCTGATAGACGCTTCATAAGACAACTTCCATCCTTCAAAGCCCCCAATCTTCTTTTCGCAGCCCATCATGACCCGTTCTCATTTAATCGCGCTGATCAAAGTTACATTCCCCACCGCACAAGCCACCACCCGGCCAAAGTATCTCTAAATATGAAACCTGGAGCTGACACTCTGTCATCCGCCATCAAAAGAAGGCTGGTTTCACCAAAAACGCCTCGCAGCCCCCAAACAATATCACGAGCATGCTTTCCAGAATAAAACTAGTCAAATCCTACATGTTTCAAGGAAAAGCTTACGCCCGAGATTAAAATAGGTACGGCAGACGTTTAATTGGTCAGATCTGCGATCGTTGTGGCTAAGCAGATAAGATCCGCTAAGCTTAAAATTAAGGCACGGGTGCGAAATTCGTGTGATTGGTCTGAGCAGGTGCTGCGCCTTGGCGGTTTGGGCGTTTATTTGCAGCGGGCTGAACTGGTGCATGAAATTCATGTATGCAGTGAGATCATCGAAATAGATTTGGCTTCATTTATTGGCTGAGATGGTGAATCCTACTCGTATAGCGAATCCTTCGTGATCCGTTTCATTTTTGGAGGATGAGATGAGGAATAGCTGTTTGATGTCATCACGGGCTTCAACCTGGCTCAGGGTACTCTGATTGCAGCTTATCCATCACATGCTTGAGCGTTCCAAAGAATCTAGTAACTTCTCATCCTTATCACGGATCACGTATATAAGAGACTTCATCTGCCTTCACAAATCTACCATCTCATCTCATCATCACTCCATAGATTCGCAACATTCTTTCCTCTCTTCTTCTTAACTTCAATTCCCCGTTCTCTTTTCGACTTCATAGTCCCTTCACCAACATGCACGCCTTCACAATTGCAACCGTCCTCGCCGGCGCTCTCAGCGTCGAAGCTGGACCCCTCAAGCTCGCCAAGCGAGTTCTCATGGGCCGTCTTGACGACGGAGCGCATGAGATCGAGCACAAGTTCCAGCCTGTCACCGATTTTGACACAGACGGGTGTTACTACACTTCTGCCATTGACAAGGACGGCAACACCAACCGCGGTCTCAGCCAGAAAGACGTCTACTTCAAGGGTCCTGCTGCTGATTGCCGTGAGCCAAACCGTCTGGAGAACAACAATGTCTACAGCCGAAAGCGCTGCAACAACGGTTGGTGTGCTATCATGTATGAGTACTACTTTGAGAAGGACCAGTCTTCGTAAGTTCACTTCGCCATCGTTTCAACATCATTATCTGACCAAGTTTTAGTTGGGGCACTATCAACGCTGCTGGCGGCGGTAACGGTCACACTCATGACTGGGAAAACATTGTCGTATTCGTTCAAGGCGAAGATGTCAAGCGCGTCGCCCCCTCATGCCACGGCGGCTACGAACACGCTACCAACACTCCCCGTCTCGACGGCCAGCGTGCTAAGGTCGTCTACCACAAGGACGGTGGCTTCACTCACTGCTGGCGCATGGCCAACGAAGCCGATGACGATATTGAGAACTACACCGGTCAGTGGTTCATCGGCAACCTTGTTGGCTGGGACAACTGGCCCGTTGTCAACGGCCGATCTCTTCGAGACTACCTTTATGATGCTTGGAACGGTGGTGTTGGTCCTAAGTTCTGGGACAAGGATGACAGCTTCACTAAGAAGCTTGGTGAGGCTGCTGGTGATCAGTGCCCGGGCTTCGATCCCGCCAAGGATGAGTAGGGTTGCGACTTTGATGGTGGGCTATAAGCTTGGCTTTGTATTCTTTGACTTTCTAGAAAAGTAATTTTCTACGCAGGTACATGCAAATTTAGGGTTTCTTATGTTGGGTGTTGAATAGAATATGGCTTTGATACTTGACTGAGTTTCTGTTCCAATCTTCATACCGTGTGCGCACGTTCTCATCTCGTCATATTGTCTAAGTTTATGCGTGCTTCCGCCAACGCTGACGTGTAAGTTGCTAGATGGGTTATTTGCAGTTGAGACGTGTGGCCGAGAGCTTAAATCAGCACAAAGAACTTCGTTTTATATATTAGGGCACAAGTATTTGACAAGACTCAAGACACAAAAGGTAGTGAAAGTGAATCTCATGAACTTGCAAAATTGTCACTAGATCTCGAGCGTTGTACAAATATAAAATCAATTGCAGGTTTCTTGTCATAAGCTCATGACAAGACTAAAAAGAGTGCTACATAGTTTCTAAAGTAACAAGAAGCTATGTGAATGTTGGCAGGCAGAAAAGAACAAATCACACAATCTCCGTCCCGAGCCAAAGAAGCACTGATCCCAAAGATTGGCATCAGTCACCTTAGTGCCAGCACTTGCCCCAAGCATCGTTCTTGTTGCCGCCAAAGTTGATATCCCAGGCCTGCTTGCAGGTAGTCTCCCAGGGAGCACCGTCGATACCGCGACCAGTGCCCTTGTCAACGCACTACATAATCAGCTGCCATGCTCTGTGAGCCCGTGATCTGGGTACTTACAGAGTAGCCGTCCCAGTGAGTGTGGGGCTGGTTGGAACCCCAGAGGGCACAGGCAGCCTGGCCAAGATCCTGTCTGTATGTACCGCGGACGGTGCAGCCACAGTTGTGGTGAATGCCGGCCAAAGCGCTGGGAGGTCAGATTTGGTTTTTTAGGTGAAGGGCTGGTGACTTACGCGCCGAAGAAGAGGACCATGAGGCTGAGAGAGTTCATATTGAATGAGATGTCTGAGTCTTGAGGACTGGAAGTTATGGAAGTTGTTGTTGTAGTGTTTGAGAGTGATGAGAGTGGTGAGTTGCAAAAAGAGCTGGGAGAGTCGACCTTTTTATATCTCGAGATCATCCAAAATATACACTCTCTGATGAACAGTTCTGCCTCATGGTCTGGCTTGAGGACCCGTCTAGTCAGGCAACTGACGAACCTCATCCGGCGGATAGCGACTCGGCTCATGGATGACAACCACTATCCAATTCATCATGACTGAAGCAATTGCCGAAGTGAACATCTCACGTTCGGCTCATCGGCATCGTTAGTTCGACCTTCCAAACACGGAAAATCGTGAAGCTATCCGTATCTCAGCCTATGAGCATGGAATAACCTCAGGATACCGTAGTCCGAGACATACGATACTCTATGCGCGGATAATAGAGTTCAATGAAGATAGTCTTGTCTATCCTTGACATAGCGTGATGAACTCAGGTTCGTGTTGGAATGCGAGCTTCCTATTGGCTATGATGTAAGCGGAAGGCGTCTCGAAGCCTTACTGATGAGCAGTGGGGGGAAGATTCGCCTATTATGCAGGCAATAACATCCTACAAACCTTCTTTGCATTAGAGGAAGCTTGTTTGGACTAGTGTTTCCAGGGACCGTTGTATTGCCGACAGGGCCAGCGCAACGTGCCGTCGCTGGCAACGGCCCGCAAAGCATACCAAAGTGAAGCCCACGTGGGGGTTTCGGTGTGAGGCGATTTGCCCAATCGAACACCGAGCACGACCTCCAGAACTGGCCTATAGGGACAGTTCAGTTACAAGCACAGACTATATGGACGGGTTAGTCGGCGTCAAAGCGGGTCTAATAATATGCAATATTCCAAAAAAGAACAGAGGAACATCAGGCTATACTCAGTCCATCGACTCATTTAATACCGGCAGATGATGGTAAGAGTAAAACCCCCAATCTATTGCGGATGGGGATAGGAGCGAGGCAGATCAACTCGTGTTCAGTTTGTGGCTTGGAAGATATCATGGATTGTCTCGAGTCAGCCGTCTATGAACTGCCGAGAGTCGAAGCTAACGACGAGTAAGTTCATGAGTGCCATGATGAGGGTTCTGCGAAGTTCGTAAAGCTGCGACACTCGTCGGTAGTTGAGAAGTTGTTAAGTGCCAAGTTCGGCAACGACGTTGAGGGCATCATGAATGCAAGAACTATTTAAGACAGTATTCAGTTCCACATTGACAACTCACTCAACCATCACAACATCTTCATTCACACTCAAGCTCACTTCTCTACATTCTACATTCAACAAAGCCCCTTACAATGGCCCGCTTCATCCTCGTCCTCGCCGCCCTGGCCACTGCTGCTTTCGCCAGCACCAGCGCCGACAAGGCCCTCGAGAAGACCCCCGTCAAGGTCACCGAGGTCACCTACAAAGTCGGCGAAGTTGCCCAGTGCATTACCCTCTCTCACCTCCAAGCCCTCGGCCATACCTTTACCAACCTCAACGGCACTGGTGACTACAAGCTCCCTGAGATCCCAACCACCTACATCAACGATCCCACCGCTTGTATCCCAGAGTCCCTCTTCGACCAGTACTTTGAGCCCATCGTCGCCATCTCCAAGGAGCAGAACCTCCTTGAGTCTTTTGACGCTGAGAAGGTTCACAGCCGTGATCTTGAGGTGCGCGCTCGCAACTGTCCTCAGATCAAGGATGCTGCTCTTGGCCGTGTTCACTCCTGGAGCTGTGATAGTGCGCCTCATCCTAGCTCTTGCCGATCTTGCGCCAACTTTTCTTCTATCAACTTTGTGGCTGCTTGTGTTGCTTGTGCGGCTAAGGCTAACCAGGAGAGTATCTTCTGCTGTGCTGCTGCGGCTACCACTTTTGCTACCTACTACTCTCAGGTCTGCCTTGAGAAGTAGGTCTACCGGTTCTTTCTGTGGGATGAAAGGGGAAGAGGGGATTCTTACTGTAGTCGCTCGTTTGGCTGGGCATGGTTGTTGATTGTGTGATATTAGTTTGTTGCGACTGTGGGGATTAGATGAGTGTATCCTCTATTCCCGTTCACTCCTTAGGTATAGCTTCTTAGTGGTATCGCCATGCTATCTCTCAGGCAGCTGGTGCTTTGAATTAAATCACTTGTTTTTCGAGTATGCACTGCGACTTGTTCCAGATCCAAGATTCAACAGTAAGAAACCCAGTAATCTCAACTCAACAGATAAAAGTGATGGATTATAATAGACAACCTTGGCCGTCTTACCCCAGGAGTATTATTGCCATGATCACCAGCATCCACATCCCTGTCAGCCTGTCTGTCAGTCTCACAGACACCTGGCCGATCGCGTCGACACACAGATTTGATTTCCAATGCATGGCGCACTTTGCGGTAATATTTCCCCTCTTCAACTCGCATTGTCTCAACGTTCGCATCACTCGCGCTGGTTCTCATTACCCAGAGCTCGGAGCAACATTTGTAGGCTAACCAACCATGCCAGATCGAAATAGATTGCCATTAAGGGGCTTCATCAAGCACATAGGAAGCAAGAAAGGAAAGGAACCACGCCATGGCCCTACATTCAGGCTTCCAAGAACGTCACTCGATTCTCAAGGTATGTACGAGGCCGCTCAGTCTCTGGAGCACCATCGCTACAAGGTTCATCACTAAGGGCTCAGAATAGATGGAGAATCCGCTGCGCTGCTGCCTGCCATAGCACCGTCGACATCCGTATCTTCGGTAAATATTGCGGCTACCATGGACTTTTCGCCAGAGGGTGTGTCTGTTGGATCTTCGACCCAAAGGTCTCAACATGGCATCAACGCATCCGCAAGCGAGTATGAATGTTCAGACCAGCAAGCGCAGTTCCAAGAACTTTGGAAAGAAGCAATTCTTACTATCAAAGAGTCGAAAGACGGTAATAAATTAGCAGAGACTTTTGAGATTCTAGACCAAGCCTCAACCAAAGACTCTAAGTTTAGCCTGTCAGTGTTGATATCAAAATTAGAAGCGGCAATGAAACGCGTCGGTATGCAAAAGAAGTTGGCTGAAGCTATGGAAACGATCATTCCACATCTCAATCGGTTCGCCGTTGTAGGCGATATCGCTGTCAGCACAAACCCTAATCCTGCTGCATTACCATGGGCCGCCGTGCGTTTCCTTCTCCTGGTAATACTCCATCAGTCATATCATTATCACTGAACTTGGACTAACCTACTTTAGAATCTTACCGCTGGGGGAGATCAGGGCCAAGGTCGACCAAGGCATTACCGAAATAATCATCCTGGTCTTTGAGTGCAGCGTTTACCACGAACTCTATCTAACTGCATCAGCTTCTAGTGACCTTGCGGTAGATACCAACCTTCGCAAGAAGATCATCGACGCTCTATCTCAATGCATAAAGCTGCTCGGATTTGCGCTTCGTCACCAGAAGAAGGCCGCCAGGGCTCTTACAGATGCTTTTCGCTTAGAAGACTTTTCTGGATATCTAAAAGATCTCAGTGTTGCCAAGAATAGACTACATAATGCTGGCATATTATGCGAAATGCATCATAGTTCACATGCCCGAGACCATCTCAAGTTTGTTTGTGGCTTGATGATCGAAATGAGGCTCGAATACAGGTAGTACATAATGCCTGTTGTGCTGATATCTGCTAATGTTTCTATAGTCAAAGCGCTGAAGAAAAGGTCAAGGCGCAACTCAGAGATCTACTCATCGACCCTAAGGACGTGTTCGATCACATTTATTATCCACCCGATTCTTTCTGTCTAGAGGGCACCCGCGTACAAGTTCTCAAAGACATCGACGAATGGGCGTCCGATCCCCAAAGTCCGACGATCTGTTGGCTCCCAGGTCTGGCTGGGACCGGCAAGAGTACCATTTCGCGCACAGTCTCAAGAAACTTGAAAGACAAAACGCTTAGCGCCGGCTTCGTCTTTAAGAAAGGTGCCGGTAGCCGAGGAAGTGGCCAGCATCTGTTTGCGGTACTGGCATATCAACTCGCCCTACAGTTCCCTCCCATCCGCCCTCATATCCCTCATATCTTGCAGACAGTGAAGGACGATCACTCTCTAGCCATGACACCTATCCGGATCCAATGGCAAAAGTTGATTGTAAATCCACTTGTTAAATTGCAAGACGAAGGGCTCGTCAAGCCTGTTCTTTTCGTTTTCGATGCCTTGGACGAATGTAATGAACAAGATCGCGGAGAGATTCTTCGTTTACTATTGACAACATGCCCAGAGGTACTACGAGTCTTTCTCACAAGTAGGCCAGAACTTGACATTATGGGACATTTTATCGACGAACCGCTCCATAGAGAGATTGTCCTTCACAAACTCGAAATCCGAACCATAGAGAACGACTTCTTTGTTTTCCTCCGCCAGTCTCTGGAACGTTTCGTGGTGGAACATAATCGCACTCATCGTCAAAAGCACCTCCAATTACCTTCAGACTGGCCTGGGGATGAGCGATTCCGACTACTGCTTGACAAAGCTTTACCATTGTTCATCGCAGCTGCAACCTTCGTGCGCATGATTCGCGATAGACACTGGGCGAGAAGCCCTGACTATAAGATTGATTTCATCATCGATAAGTCATCTAGGGTCAACTCTGAATACGATGCTTTATACAAGCCTGTGCTGAGTCTCATACAGAGCGGCGCGCCTGATGACGACCTACATGAAGTCAAACGGAATTTTATGGATATCATAGGTTCTCTCATTCTTCTTGCAAGCCCTCTACCGATAGGATCACTTGCTGAGCTTCTTGGCATCGATGCATGGGCTGTATCCAGTCAAATCGATGCACTACGTTCGGTCATCGATGTTCCGGAAGACGACAGTCCTCTTCAGCTGTTCCATCTGTCATTCAGAGATTACATCCTCAGTACATCCGCTGGAGACCTTCAAGTTGATGAAGAGCAGACACATGCAAGCCTGGCAAACAGATGCCTCAAGCTCATGCGAAGGACTTTGAAGGCTGATATCTGTAGGCTTCGAACGCCAGGAAAAAGACTCTCTGATGTTGAAACATCTGTTATCAGTCAGTGCCTACCGCCAGAAATTCAATATGCGACCTTGTACTGGGTTCACCATTTGAAAGCGTCCGGGAAGCGCATGAGAGAAGAAGACTATGCGTACATACTTTTCAAAGGTTTCTTTACAAACTGGCTCGAGGTTATATGCCTACTAAGAAAGATTGATCACGCCTTTTTGATGTTGGAAGACTTGCAGAGCATAGTCGATGTAGGTAGCGTGTTGTCGGGCCATTTAAACACTGTCGCTGACTACTTCATCAGGAGACTTCTGGAGCACAAGTACTGCAGTTTATCCAAGATTCATTCAAGTTCATTACTTATTTTCGAGGCGGCATAGAGCAGCATCCTCTCCAGTTATACCACTCTGGTACTATCTTTAGCCCTAAAGCAAGCATCGCTCCCAGTCCACTCGACCGCCGCCAATACCCCGACTACATCACAGCGCCCTCCAACATAGATCTCAACTGGCCACAAAGTCAAACTGTTGATGTTCTTGAAGGGCTAGCCCAGATATCATTCTCACCAGAAAATAAGCTAGCCTCAATTTGTTACCAGGGCCAGATCAGAATATGGGACCTTACGTCAGGGGCCTTGACAGAAAACAGCCAGTGGGAATCCATTGGAATCGATTTAATCACTCCCATTGCGAACGGCAACAATATACTGTCGCATAACGCGGGGGTCGTGAAGCTCTGGGATATGCAAAGCGGATCGTGCAAAGAGATACTCGAGCCAGAAGCCCCGTTGCAGATCCTTATAGCAGCTGCATCCAACACTTCAACATTTGCTATACTGAAAAAGCCAATGATTGAAATCTGGAGCATCGGCCCTTTGCGTCATTTGAAGACATTGGCACGAGAACTTAGTTTGGTTGAGAGGGGGTATTGCTGTCTAGTCATTTCTGCCAACGGACAACGACTAGCTATATCACCAGACCTTTGTTCAATTGAGATTTGGAACGTTGGTGACGGCCTCCTAGAGCATAAACTTGATACGCCGTTTATGCACTTCCCTTGCATCGCCTTTTCGCCGGATGGTGCGAAAATTGCCTACTATCTGGGGGGGAGCATCGAGGTACGCTGTCTTCCTGGACTTGAGACACTCGCGATTACGACTGATATGAGCCCGGAAGTACCATACTTACGCACTCTCACCTTTCATGGTGGCTGGCTGATAGGTATAAATATGAACACGCAAGTGCAAGTCTGGGATGCATCAACCGGAGAAAGTCTTTTTCTGTCGCAGCCGTATCCGGAGCTCAGGGCATCCAATTTTCCGTACTCGTTTCTTAGTACCGATGCCATTGCCCGTTCATTCCATGGAGGTATGGAGGATCTGGAACCATGTTACATTGGTCAAGAACCTCCTTGGCTCATGAAGAATGGTGAGAAACTTCTCTGGCTCCCACCAGATTACAGACCACAGTCTGTATACATATCGGGGACAACTATGGTCCTTGGAACGTATTCCGGGCGTGTATTATTCTTGTACTTGAAGGATTAGGCTTAAAGCGCAATGAGTCTACCCTTAAAATTCGACTCTCTGGTGTAGCATGTCGATAAATGAATAGACCCGACATGTGATTGGCCGTGGCTATGATTAAAGTTGTTCTAAGACATTACAAGGAAGCTGAATTTACCCACGAATCAGAATTAATCGTCAAAGATGTTCCCGCCAGACACCGCTTTCTCAAACAAGCTAACTAGCACAGGGGCAATGATAGACCCCCTGTTGAGATTCCCCACTAAGCCTAGACCGGGACTTGTTTGCGAACTTCAGATTCGTACAAGTTCAAATCGGTCATGAACACTATTGAAACATATTACCGACTAAAACACCGATAACCGAGGCTTTTTGTTTATCCTCCACTGGAAATACGTCGATGATGATATGGAGAGAGTAATTTGGTCATCGGAGTTCAGAAAAGGGATCAATGCCGAGGGGCCTTTGGTCCAGAACCATGCTTATTTGTGTCAGATCGCGCTGTGGCGGTACTAAGTAATATCAGGAATTAGACCCATGCCATCGCATTGGATTCTCTGGGAATGCTAGCGCTAACCCGGCCTGTCGGGACCCGTGGGCTTCACGTGAAGGCGGACACGAAAATTCACCAATCATTGGTCCAGGAATTCAGCCAGGAAGATTATATTTACAAGAAGTGTATCTAGTTTACAAAGAAAGCTGAAGAAGTTGTCCTTCGTATCAAGTCCAGAATACCATTTTCCTCCGAGACGCCAGCGCATGACATGACTCCAAAAACACCACGTCCCGCGTGCATCATGTCAAGTTACTGACATCCAATCATTTCTCCAACTGCACACGCTTAGAAACGGTGAGCAGCAAAGTGGCGAGCGTGGCGGCGGGCCTTGGAAGAACCAGAAGAGCAACCGCTGCTGGCACCGTTGCCGGCAGAGGGGAGAGGGGTAGTCTCAGCGGCAACGGGAGTAGGCTGGGGAGTGGTCTCAGCAGAGTCGGGAATCTCAGGGACGACGGGAGCCGCAGAAGACTCGGTAGCAGAAGTAGGGGCGGTAGAAGGAGCAGCGGAACCCTCGGTAGGAGAAGCACCAGAGCCAGAGTCGGAGCCAGAGTCAGAACCGGAATCAGCACCGCCCTCAACAGTCTTGGTGACATCACCTTCAGCACCATCAGCGGAACCACGGATGGTACCACCGGGAATGACATCAGGGCCAGGCATGACATCGTAAGAGGTAGAACTTCCCCAGAGGCTGAAGTTGACAGCAGCGTCGTCCTGACTGTAGACACCAGGGATAGAGACAGAAGTACCGGGGATGGTGGTGGCGCTGTTACCAGTGACTTCAACCTGGGCACAAGCATAGTAGAACTCAGCCTGGCCATCGTGAGCACCGTGGAGAGCAATGTGCTCACCACGGAGGAGGTACTGTCCATCGGGAAGAGTAGAAGGAATCTTGAAGTGGACAGAGTCCTCATCCCAAGAGCACCAAGCAGTGGAGCGGAGGGACTCGGCATTGCCGGACTTGCAGATCAAAGCCTGGTGAATCTTGTACCACTTGAGGTCATAAGGGCTGTCACTGGTAGCGTCCTTGACAGGAGCAGCGTAGACCTGGATAGGACCGGGGTGCTGCATTCCAGTACCGCCGAAAGCCTGCTTAAGACCAATCTCATCGCCGGCCTTGACCTTGAAGACGCCGGAAGAGGGAGTAGAGCCCTTGTTGCAGGTGAAGTCCTTGTCGGTGGGAGAGATGGAACCGTCGGGAATGCCCTTGAACTTGGTAGGCATGTAGCCGTTCTGGTGCTTGCGGATGTACTGGTTATCAGTGCCCTCTTGGACACCACCGAGGGTGAGCTTGTCGAAGGTGTAGTGAGCGCTGACGGCGGAGGCCAGGCTGAGGAGAGCGGAAACGTAAGTGGTGGTCTTCATGGTGAAAAGATTGGAATGGTAAAGTCGCAAGCGAACTTGATAGAATGAAAGTGAAGTTTAAAGAATGAGAAGAGAGACTAGCTCTTTGAAACGAATGAAATGGACTGATTGGAAAAGGATGCTTCTTCTCAGTCTGGAGGGCTGGTTGAAGATGTTTATATACCAATTCATCGTGATCGTGTTGTGGGAGTCGTCGTTTGGGACAAGGTTAAGTTGGACAAGGTTTGGCGCCAGCTTGCTTTACTGTTTACGCTTAACTCTGTCTCAAGTTGTCAAGAACGCAGGGTTCATGGCGGCCTGTTTGCCATGTCCCGTCTTGGCTTGAACTGTGGAATTTTTCCATCTGTTTCCACCTGTTATTCTGTTTCGATGATGGACCTTCAATTTTACTCCAGACGTTTAGTTTCTCGGCGGATCAACGTGATTTGCTGAGATCCCTGGTTCTTAGTTTCATCGTGTTTCAATGACAGGGGAGGTTTTGCTGACTTTGGTTTTGTAATTGAGTTTGGCCAATGAGACGTCTCAATGAGATAGCGGTCTTATCGTTATCTTGCGGCTCCGTGGATTGAGATGCTAAGCGGAAGCTAATATTTTGTACCTAGAGTGTAATACCTCTAATGTTATATACCTGAGAATAACCATACAGGAATGTTAACCTTATTACACGTTGTCGCTGGGCGTAGAGACTCACTAACAGGTCCCCTCTGTTTCACGTATATTGAACTGTTAGGTGCCATCCCCATCCACTTCAGACGTTTCAACCATTCTAAATTCAGCTAGCCCACGTCGTTGTGGCTTKCCAATGATCCTGACACTAATCCCAATTGAACTCAAGTCTCGTTTGAGCTCGTTCAAGGTCCCGACTCATTGGAACCATGTCTGTTCGCAAGACAGGGAATATCACATCAGGCCATTGCTTTTTTGTCGCACTTCTTCAGGTCGGCAGTTCGTATTGACTTGACGCCCCTCGATCATTGCTTCAGCTTCCGGTGGCATGAGGGGGAAGAACACACAGCTTTGCAAAGCTGACGCAGATCATAATGTCGCTATTATGCCAGCATATTCGCCTGTAGTTCAGGCGAGCGAGTCTTTCTACGGATAATGGGATACTCAACAAGGTTCTCTCATATTATGGTCGACGATAAGCGTGCCCCTAATAGATAGGCTGAACTACGATCAGAGCACAGAGCAGCCATCACACTCTTCATCCGGCATAGTTCATGCACATTGGTCATATTAAGAGATCACTCGCGGGGGGATTAAGGAGCCGCAAGGCCCTGTACGGATACACATGCAGCTAAGCGCTCCCGCAGTCTAAATCCACCAATCAAGCAGCTTATAATTGAAAGTACAAGATATGGTGGCACGTCATCGCATTTGTGGGCGGGCGGAACGATGTGCGGCAAATTGAAAGGAGCAGCATCTGATTACACAAGGCATGGGTATGGATTTCAGACCAGACGTGAGCAGCCGAATACACTTTCGCATACATATCAGACGGGCTTGGCATTGCGACTGATTACGTGGCGTGGGATGCGGGAGTCAGAGTTAGGAGGGGGAGAGTTTGGAGAGAACGATGCAAAGTGCATAATCCAGTGAGGGATATAAAGTAGATATGCGTACTCTTTCAGTTCGGACCTGTGGCTGGGAGCTCGATATCACCTTACGAATTTATTGAACAGTTCGGCATCATGTACTCTCGTTGTCACTCTCCCTGCAAGTTTGCAAGAACATGTCTGCTAGCCATGCATCCAGGTTCTCACAGTGCGTTTGAGTTACGTCAACTCAAGCTATAGCGTTTACTGCGACTCTATGATCGAGCGCGAATGATGTTTACCCTTGCATCAACTCAACTTTGGGTGAGAGAGGTGATTGTTGCCCATCGCTCTGCTGAGGAGTCTATTTAGACATGCATGTTCTCACTGTTATGGCGCCCTACACGAGCAGTTAAACCCTCGCATCACAGCTTCCACCTGGCTAATAGAGTCGCACCGGGTTAGGGCATCGAGGCTAGATATAGTGAAGGCGTCGGCGTAGTGTAGTCTTGCCGAAGCACGAAAGCCTCGTGACGGATCGAGGAAGAGAAGACAGTGTGCTGTCTAGATTCGCAATATTACGTCTTGTTGTTATAGAATGACGTGAAGAGGAAGAGCTGGAGGTTCAGGTGCAGATCGAGAGAAGGAAGAGAGTCCGACTCTTGATATTTATACTCCCGTCGTTCCCGCGGCAGTGGAAGTCATCCATAATAGAGTGGATTCAGTTCTGGTGGGGCACGAGATAAGATAGAAGTAGAACAGAGAGGCGAAACATCGCTCAATATCTTACCCTACATTCCGACGGAAGATTTTATTTTATCATAGCAATTCTTCATTGGCAAATGGTTGGTTCAATTGATCTTCTTCACTCTAATATTGACTTGCGTACAGTATCTTTGTGGATTTTACAAGTCCAATCTTCAACGGAAAGGTAATGTCTTTACCTTTTGGCGTTATTGTCTGGTCTCCGTGTCAAGTTGTCCGCAACGTAAGTAACGACACCTCCCGGGATTCCGCTTCACGAATCTCATAGGCGCGGTAACCATAGAGGCGCAGTCAATGATGACATTACTGGATTCATCTACCAGCATATCGAACATGCTCACCCAATGCGACGTTGATGCCCTCATTCTTCTCTCTTTGGAGGAAGATTAATGTTGACATGACTATCATGCAACGTCTATCCAGCCTTGAACGATCACGAGATATCATGAACAGAATACCCGGTGATATCCAATTCACCCGGTGAGCCCCAGCTGATGCGCGCCTGTCAAACCCGTAGCTGAATGCCGCTCAGACAATCATCGTTACCACCTACTGTAAAGATGAAACCAGAATCGAGCAAGTTATCCAACTCTCCGTGCCGGTATCCGTTTACCCAGTGCTCACGATTGGTGGCTTTACGCGGAGAAATATTACCCCAAGATGATTCTCGATTCGGCAGAAATCTAGAATATCACCACCACCCCATACATGAAACACGACCCACGTGTTTCCCGTGGGAACGACGCTGAACGAGCTCACGTTCCTGAATTTGAATTTGGCATCTGGCTCGTGCTTTAAGCTGA